TAGGATTTAAACAGGTTTCCTGGGGTAGGGCTCTGGAGATAGAGGAATACTGTCACCTGACCCCATTGTCAAGGGATATTAAATGGGAAACCAGCAGCAGCAGTCACAAGTGGCTCACGGGAGGGTAATTAGGAAGTTGCCACAAGTGACCCTGCAGTAGTGCCTGAGTAGAAGAGGGCAATGGCTAGTAGGGCATCCTCTGCTTTTCCCAGTGTAAGCGCAGAATTCCAGGATTTCCCCTTTCAGATTGCTGTAGGTTGTTTATGATCATTTGTAGTTTGTCAGTTGTAAAGGAGCCAAATAACTAGTAAGAATTTAAGGGATGCCAGCTGAATGTTATTTTTCTTTGGCCCACTACCACTTAAAAGAAAAGGAGAACTTCAAGCAGAGCTCTCTTGCTTTGGCCAGCTGCTGCTACAAAGAGGAAACTGCAAAGTTTTCTTCAGTCTCCATCCCTCTTCTTTATGAATTTTGTTTTTTCTTTGAAATTTGTGCTAAAAATCTAGCGCACTGTTTTAAGATTGTTATCAATTTTAATTCTACTTATACAGTAACTGTCTAGGATTTGGGTAGGGAACCTTCAGCCTTGAGGCCTCATAAGGCCCTCTAGGTCCTCAAATGTGGCTCTTTCACTGAATCCAAACTTTATAGAATAAAGCCTTTTATTAAGGGGATTTGTTCTGTGAAGCTTCAAGGCCACAGATTCCCCACCCCTCTATCTAAGAGCTTTAGAAATTTTCCTAATTGGTTTCTTACTAAGGTTTTCTCATTCAAGAGCTTACCTTTGCTTTGAGAAAATTTGGCTCAGAAATGAGAGCTTCCAGATCTCCTCCACAATGGAGAGATTCTTAGGGTATGCTAAGATGGAGGTCTTGGTTGCTAATTGTTGTGATAAAAACTGAGACACAAGGTACCAAGCGTAATCAGTTTATTAGTGAGGCTAGCAATTGCCAACAATGGATATCTGTGTCTCTTGAGTTTATTTTTCATCCCAAAACCCAACAGTTTGGTAAAGGAGACACTAGAAAATACTGAGGAAAATAACCCTTAAAAAACAGTCTAGGCTAAATGGCAAAAGAGGCACAAAAATCCACTGAAGGGAAAAATGCCTTAAGTTAGCAGAATTGGCCAAATGGAAAAGTGGGTATAAAAATTCACTGAAGAAAGGATCTCATTATAAAGTAGAAATGACCAAGTGGAAAAGGAGGTATGAAAGCTCACTGAAGAAAACAATTCCTAAAAAATTTAAAATTGGGCAGATGAAGACTAATGACTTCATGAGATATCAAGAAACAAGGAAGCAAAATCAAAAGAACGAAAAAATAGAAGAAATGTGAAATGTGTCATTGGAAAAACAACTGACCTGGAATATAGATCCAAGAAAGATAATTGAAGAATTATTGTACTATCTAAAAGCCATGTCAAAAAGAGCCTAGACATCATCTTTCAAGAAATTATCAAGGAAAACTGCCCTGATATTCTAGAACCAGAGAGTGAAATAGAAAGTGAAAGAATCTACTGATCTACTCCTGAAAGAGATCACAAAATGAAAAGTCGTAGGAATATGATAGCCAAATTGCAGAGCTCCTATTTCAAGGAGAAAATACTGCAAGCAGCCAAAAAGAAACAATTCAGATATCATGGAGCCACAGTCAGGATAACACAAGATTTAGGATTAGAGGGTTTGGAATATGATATTCTGCAGTACAAAGAGCTGGGATTACAACCAAGAGTCACCTACTGAGCAAAAAAACTGAACATAATCCTTCAGTGGGGAAAATGGATATCCAGTGAAGTAAAGGACTTTAAAGCTTTCCTGATGAAAAGACCAATGCTGAATACAATAAAATGGCCTTTCCAATACAAGACTTAAGAGAAGCATAAAAAGGTTAACATGGAAGAGAAAACATAAGGGATTCAGTTAGGTTAAACTCTTCACATTCCTCATGGGAAGATGAACTTGTAACTCCTAAGAACTTTCTCATTATTAAGGTAGTGGAAAGGAATATACATGGACAGAAGACACAGCTGTGAGTTGAACATGATGGGATGATAACCTGTATTTGTCTTGGCAGGTTGACTGCCAAGTATTTTGTATTGTCTACAGTTATTTTAAATGGGATTTCTCTTTCTACTCCTTGCTGTGGACTCTATTGTTAGTATATAGACATAGTGGATTTATGTGGGTTTATTTTATTTCCTGCAACTTTTCTAAAGTTGTTAATTACTTCAACTAGTTTTTTTTCATTGATTTCCTAGGATTCTCTATGTGTATCATATTGTCTGCAAATAGTGATAATTTTGTTTACGCATTTCCTATTCTAATTCCTTCAATTTCTTTTTTTCTCATTGCTAGAGCTAGTATTTCTAGTACAATATTGAATAATCACTCCTGATTTTATGGAGAAGGCTTCTACCTTATCCCAATTACAGATAATGCTTCCTGATGGTTTGAGATAGATATTACTTATCGTCTTAAGGTAAACTCCATTCCTATGGCTCTCCAAGAATAGATGCTGTATTTTGTCAAAAGCTTTTTCGTTATCTATTGATGTTGATTTTCTTACTGCCATGGTCAATTATGCTAATAGTTTTCCTAATATTGAACCAGCCCTGAATTCTTGGTACAAGTCTTACCTGGTCATAGTGTATGATCCTTGTGATATATTGCTATAAACTGCTTGCTAGTGTTTTATTTAAAATTCTTGCATCAATATTCATTAGGGAAATTGGTCTATAGTTTTCTTTCTCTGTTTTGACTCTTCCTGGTTTAGGTAGCAGCACCATATGTGATTTGTAAAAGGGAATTTGGTAGGACTCCTTTGCCTGTTTTCCCAAATAGTTTATATAGTATTGGAATTATTTGTTCTTTAAATATTTGGTAGAATTCACTTGTGAATCCTTCTGGTCCTAAGGATTTTTTCTTAAGGAGTTCATTGGTGGCTTGTTTAGTTTCTTTTTCTAAGATAAGGTTATTTATTCTATTTCCTCTTCTCTTAATCAAGACTATTTATATTTTTGTAAATATTCATCTGTTTCATTTAGATTTTCAGATTTATTGGCCTATAATTGGGCAAAATAACTCCTAATAATTTTTTAAATTTCTTCTTTATTGGTGGTGAATTCACCCCTTTCAATTTTTATACTGGCAACTTAGTTTTCTTTTTTCCTTTTTAAAATCAAATTAACCAGATGCTGAGTGAAGTGAGTAGAACCAGGAGAACGTTGTACATGGTAACAACCACCTTGTGCCATGACTAACTTTGATAGACTTGGCTCCTCTCAGCAATGCAAGGATCTAAGACATCTCCAAAAGTCTCATGATGGAAAATGCTGTCCACATCCAGAGAAAGAATTATGGAGTTTGAATATAGATCGAAGTATACTATTTGTTCTTTTTTTTCTTCTGTTTTGTTTCTTCTTTCTTGTGGTTCCTTCTATTGGTTCTTATTCTTCTTTACAACATGATTAATGTGAGAATTAAAAAACATAAATAAAATCAAATTAACTAATGGTTTATTTTACTGGCTTTTTTGTAAAACCAACTTCTAGTTTTATTAATTCAATGGTTTTCTTCCTTTGAATTTTATTTACCTCCTTTTATTTTCAAGATTTCCAAGTTAGTGTTTAATTAGGGATTTTTACTTTTTTTCTAGTGGTTTTTAAAGTTACATTTCCAATTTGTTAATCTGCTCTTCCTCTGTTTTGTTGATTAAGCCTTTAAAGCTATAAATTTCCCCCCAAGTACTACTTTCTTCACTGAGCTTTGGTACCTTCTTTTCCATTTCACCAATTCTATTTTTAAGGAGCTATTTTCTTTGCGTTTTTGTGTATCTTTTTCCATTTGTGTGTTTCTTTTACCTAGCTGTTGGCTCTTTTTTCATAATTCTCTTGCATTACTATCATTTCTTTTCACAACTTTTCTTCTATTTCTCGTGTGTTTGTTTTTTTAGCCCTTCATTGCTCTTTCAGGAGTTCTTTTTGGGCTTTGGACCTATTTACATTTTTCTTTAAGGCTTCCTGTGTTGCTGTTTTGACACTGCTTGTCCTCTGCTAAATTTGTGCCTTGATCCTCCCTGTCACCATAATAATTTTCTGTAGTCACCTTCTTTTTTTGCTAATTTTTCTATTTTATGACTTTGTACTTTTGTGTCATAGTTTGGCTCTAGTCCTGCAGTGTCCCAAGCTTCTTGTACTGGGGCTGAGGGCCTTATTGGTGTCTTTAACTGGGCCTCAAGGCCTACTTTCCCACCCCAGTGAGACAGTCCTTTTGTGCTGTGTTATTAAGGTTTTAATAAGGTAAATTACCTTTAATAAGGTAAACTTCACTGCTCCTAAATTGGTTCTGAGGGTTTTTTAACATTGTTTTTAGGGGAATTCAGGAAAGCTTTAGGGAGTTCCTTCACTGTGCCATCATGGCACTGGAATTCCCTTAATAGTTCTTTTTACTTGCAGATGGGGGAAAATAAAATATTAAATGCTATGTTTTGTTTTGTTTTAAAGAGAAGAAAGTGACTACTTTAGTGGTGAAGAGATTATGCTGATTGCTCAAAGGATCTGAGAATGTTCAGCCTGCAAGGAAAGACTTAGGACCACATGATAGCTGTGTTTCACTATTTCATTTTCATTGTTTTATTTCAGCAAGTAGAAAAGGCTTAAGCATACTATTACCTGAGCTCAGAGGGTAGAAATAGGTGCCACAGGTACAGGTTGTAAAATTGATATAGTTGGAACCACTAAAAACAGTAAGCATTAATTAAACACTTACTATGTGCCAGGCACTATGTTGAGTGCTGAGGATAAAAAGAAAGGCAAAAATAGCCCATGCCCTCAGGGAGCTTACAATCTAACAGGAATTCTTAAGTGCCTGCTCTGTACCAGGCACTGTACTGCGTTCCACATAAATGAATGAAACAATCCATAACGGCAAAGACTTTACATTCAGACATCATAACAGTCAGAGTTATACTCGGGTAATCCAAATATTTTTGGTGTTTCAGGAATCAGTGACATTCAAAGATGTGGCTGTGGAATTCTCTCTGGAGGAGTGGGTATATTTGAATCCATCTCAGAAAAAGTTGTACGGGGATGTGATGCTGGAGAACTATAGGAACTTGGTCTCTTTGGGTAAGGACAGCTACTCCTTTGGAGTCTTAATATATACTATGGAGACTTTCAAGATTTTAATGGTTATTCTTTGGCATACAAAAGGAAGATATTTGTATTCCTTTTGTAGCCAAGAGATAGGGTATTTGTGGTATCTGTTTTGAGGGAAAACATCTTTGCAAAGTATGAATGCAAACTGAGTTCTTGGTTTGCTGTCGTCCTAGATCCTCTGTGTTGTTTCAAATCCAAGATTTTCTGTATAATCCTAGTGGAGATATCATCATATACAAGGTGTTCCCATTGTCTAAGCAGAGAGTGTGTCAAATGAACTATTTTCCCAAAGTTCTACCCTGTAACCTATTCCGACACAATATAGACTATCCATAAGTGGTCATTTGTACCGTCCTTGAGGTCTTGCTAGCATGTCTACTTCCCCCTCCTTCCCCCTCCCCCAAAACAGAGCTTAAGCTAGTTTAGGATTCTTTTATTAAATTTTATGCATGTTTTACTTGATGTCCCCTCCACCTAAAAAAAACACCCTATTTCTCTCCTTCACCAGCCTGTTGGTTAAAAAACAAAAAAAAACAGTTTCAGACAAAATCAGCTAACGTAACTAGTGCCCTTGATGATATTAGATACATTCCGCACCTCATTCTCACACCTCTCTACTGAGACTAAGGTGAAGTATTTAAATCTTTTTTTTGACAGAATTCTTAAATTACCATCCCTAGCATTTTTCCCTTTTCAATGAACAGGATTTGCAGTTTCCAAGCCAGATGTGATATACCAGATGGAAAGAAAGGAAGCATCTTGGATGCCAGAGACAGATATCCCAAGAAACAGCTGTCCAGGTGACTACATAAAAACCAAGCAAATGAATGATTGTAAAGTACAGATGTGTTGATCATTTTAGGTTAGAGTTCTTAGAAAATGTTAAACACGGTGATCTTATTATAGCTTCTTTTCCTGTGGAAAAGAGCTGAGGGTTGTTTTTTTTTAAAAGAATTTACTTTTTTATGCATCTTTATGTACTGTCTGTCTCAGAGCAAGTTATTTCCTAAATATAGGGGAGGTATTTTCTCTTCTGTTCTTTGTTTTTTTGTTTTTGTCTTTGTTTTGTTTTGTTTTGCTTTTTGGTGAGGCGATTGGGGTTAAGTGACTTGCCCAGGGTCACACAGCTAGGAAGTGTTAAATGTCTGAGGCTGGATTTGAACTCCAGTCTTCCTGACTCCAAGGCCAGAGCTGTATTCACTGCACCACCTAGCTGCCCCCTTTCCTGTTCTTTGAAGATTATGTTAACTTATGGAGGCATTCTTCGTCTTCATTTCCATCAATTCATTCTTCCTTTTAAAATAAGCACATCACTTAAAATATTAATATGGACTTTTTTTTTCTGAGTCTCCTGATAATCTTTTTTTTATGATTATGTTGCTCTGTTGCTGTTCCTTTTTAAAATATTTAATCATAAGCTAATTCCCCTTCAGTCTGTAATTTTATATATCATCCTGTTTTTTTTTTTGTGGTTTGAAATTTATGTTTGTAATGGCACAATGATACATTCATATGACACAATTTGTTTAGCCATAACTCTGTCATTGAACCTGTAGGTTTTTAGGATTGTGCTGTCTCAAAAACAGCTGCTGTAAATATTTTTGAGAGAATTCTGTTTCTTTTCAGTAAAATTTTGAGGATGTAGAGCTAGTAGTGGGATCATTGGATCAATGTATATGAACAGGTGTAGCATTAGCTTAAATTGCTCTGTTATTTTTCAGAGAAATGATAGCAGCAGCTGAACAAATACTTATTTCAGCATGACTGCCAAGATTTATTATCATTTTAAGCTATCTTTGCTAATCTGATGACTATTTGTTGATATATCCAGCTTGTTTCAAATTGACTTCTTTGATTACCTGAGTTTGAATAATGTTTCAGGTAACTATTAATTTCTCTAATGAGAACTACCTGTATGTCTTGATCATTTTCATTTTTGGAATTGGATCTTACTCTTATAAATTTGAATCAGTCCCTTACAAAGTAGATGTATTGGACTTTTAGCAGAAATTTATGACAGCAGTTATCTGATGTGATCCCCTTTTTCCTCATATTTCTTTATTCTAATAACTTGATGTCTTTTCCTATCTCTCCTCACTCTAAATTGGTTGATTCTCCTTATTCTTTTTTTTTTTAATCGAGGCAATTGGGGTTAAGTGACTTGCCCAAAGTTACATAGCTAAGTAAATGTTATGTGACTGAGGCTGGATTTGAACTCAGGTCCTCCTGATTCCAGGACCGTTGCTCTATCCACTGCACCACCTAGCTGCCCCCTCCTCATTCTTTCTGTTCAGTGTTTTCCTTTCCTGTTTTCACCTCAGATGGTAAGGATCTATTTGGAAGCTTTGAAAGGTCTATAATTTTTGTGGATAATCTTTCATTTTCCTATTTCATTCAAATGTCATCTATTTACAGTAGAGTAAAGGCTTATTCATCCTTCCAGGTAATTTCATCCTAAGTCAATTCATTTGTATATATTAACTATGAGTCATTATAGTTTCACATAAGATAAAGTGTAATCCTTATTGAAAGACCACTGAGACTGGCCCTGTCAGGTAAAAGTGGTAAAGAATAGCTTTAGAGCAAGGGAAAGAAGGCAGGGTTAATCAACCCTTTATTCTTCCTTTCAGAGAGCAAAGAATTTACTAGAGAAAAACCTTATGAATGTAAGGAATGTGGAAGGGCCTTCCACTTCAACTCAGAACGTAATCGACATCAGAGAATTCATAGTGGAGAGAAACCTTATAAGTGTAATGAATGTGGGAAAGCCTTCCGCCTTACTGTACAACTTACTCTACATAAAAAAATTCATACTGGAATGAAACCTTATGAATGTAATGAATGTGGGAAGATCTTTAGTAGCAAAACATCACTTAAGGCACATAAGAAAATTCATACTGGAGAGATGCCTTATAAATGTAAGGAGTGTGGGAAGGCCTTTAGGGAGAGGATACAGTTTACTCGACATCAGAGAATTCATACTGGAGAGAAGCCTTATAAATGTGATGAATGTGGGAAGATCTTAAGTAGCAATACTTCACTTAAGGTACATAAGAAAATTCATACTGGAGAGATGCCTTATGAATGTAAGGAATGTGGGAAGGCCTTCAGACAGAGGATACAGCTTATTCAGCATCAGAGAATTCATACTGGAGAAAAGCCTTATAAATGTGATGAATGTGGGAAGATCTTAAGTAGCAATACTTCACTTAAGGCACATAAGAAAATTCATACTGGAGAGATGCCTTATGAATGTAAGGAATGTGGGAAAGCATTCTACTTCAACTCAGAATGTAATCGACATCAGAGAATTCATACTGGAGAGAAACCTTATAAATGTAATGAATGTGGGAAAGCCTTTCGCCTTACTGTACAGCTTACTCGACATAAAAGAATTCATACTGGAGAAAAACCTTATGAATGTAATGAATGTGGGAAAGCCTTCCTTCGGAATTCAGATTTTATGCGACATCAGAGTATTCATACTGGAGAGAAACCTTATGAATGTAATGAATGTTGGAAGGCCTTCTGCCATGTTGCTGAACTTACCCAACATAAAAGAATTCATACTGGAGAAAAACCTTACGAATGTAAGGAATGTGGGAGGCCCTTCAGACTGAAGACCCAGCTTACTCAGCATCAGAGAATTCATACTGGAGAGAAGCCTTATAAATGTGATGACTGTGGGAAGGCCTTCAGGCTGGGAAAACAGTTTATCCAACATCAAAGAATACATACTGGAGAGAAACCTTATGAATGTGATCATTGTGGGGAGGCATTCAGACTTAGGCCACAGCTTACTCAGCATGAGAAAATTCATCATGGAGAAAAACCATTTGTGTGTAATGAATGTGGGAAAGGCTTCTTTCGGAATTCAGATTTCATGCGACATCAGAGTATTCATACTGGAGAGAAACCTTATGAATGTAATGTGTGTGGGAAGGCCTTCAGACTGAAGACCCAGCTTACTCAGCATCAAGAATTCATACTGGAGAGAAGACTTATAAATGTAATAAATGTGAAAAGGCCTTCAGACTGAAGAAACAATGTAATCAACATCAAAGAATACATGTTGGAGAGAAGCCTTATGAATGTGATCATTCTGGGGAGGCCTTCAGACTTAGGCCACAGCTTACTCAGCATCAAAGAATTCATTATGGAGAAAAACCATTTGTATGTAATGTATGTGGGAAAGGCTTCTTCTGGAATTCAGATTTTATGCGACATCAGAGTATTCATACTGGAGAGACACTTTATGAATGAATGTGGGAAGGCCTTCAGACTGAAGAAACAACTTATTCAATGTCAGAGAATTCATACTGGAGAGAAGTCTCATAAATCTGATGAATATGGGAAGGCCTTTAGGCTAAGGAAACAATTTATTCCACATCAGAGAATACATATTAGAGAGAAGCCTTATAAATGTGGGAAGGCTTTTAGACTGAGGAACAGCTTACTCAGAACTAGAGAATCCATACTAGAGAAAAACTTGAATAGAAGGTCTTGAAACACCTTCTGCATGAATTGAAAAGTAACTGTGCATCAGAGAGTAAAATTTATGAGAGAGAAAACTTAAGAACATAATAAATACGGGAAAGCCTTCAAGAATAAGACCCAACTTAGCATGCATCAGAGAATTCCTACTGGAGAAATTCCTTATGAATGTAAGTTGTGTGGGAATACCTTCCACTACAACTCAGAACTCATTCAATGACTTATCCTTGCTAGAAAGAAAAATTACGAATGTAATATTTTTGAGAAAGCCTTCTACCTGAAATCAGAACTTAGTTGACATCTAGGAGTTCATACTACTGAGAAACAGTATGAATATACGAATGTCTGTAGTGGCATCACAGAAGTTACTTGACATCAGAGAATTCTTACTGGAGAAAAACTTTGTGAAAGCAATTAATGTGGGAACGTCTTTAGACTGTGGGTGTTTCTTACTGTGCATCAGTGAAATCATACTAGAGTGGAATGTTATGCATTTACTGAATATGGGAAGGCTTTCACACTGAAACACAGGGCAGAGCCAGGATGGTGGAATGAAGCTAGTATTTTTTGCTTAGTTTTCCCAACACACTCATTCTGCAATAACTAAAAATGTACCAAACTGAATTCCGAGGGAGAAAGTGAAAGAAAAGTTACAGTGTCTTCTAATTCTAACAGGAACCTAAGAAGTCATAGAGTTATGTAGATTGTGAGGTGGAAACTGGTCAGGAGTACAGTACAAAGAGTGTAAGCTCAGCAGTGAACAGCCTAGTGCCTAAGGGAGGTAAGGGGACTGAACATTTTGTTAAAAAGAGATTCCAGGGGATCCCGTGCTAGCTGTAGATGCAGGATCAGGGGCCATTTGGCAGCTCCATTACCACATTACCCACTTCTGAGTTGTAGGTCCAGGGTAGAGAGGAGCAGTTACAGTGGCAAGGGAGCAGATAACCTCACCTGGTTAAGGTAAGATACCAGTTTGCAGACTTGCAGGGCAGTGACCCAGCTTCTCTCTGGATCACACTACCTTAGAAGCAACAAAAACTTTCAAGTCCCTAGACTTAACCTCAGAAAGCAGTAGGACATAAAAATTTGAAGACCAGATTGGATGCCTGCCCTCACAGGTGATCAGAGCCCAGCACTAACAAAAAGTCAAACTCAAAGAAATAAGCTAGAAAAATTAGAACTACAAAAAAAGAACCTGACAGTAAAAGCTTCTGTGGGCACAGGGAACCTTGAGACAAACTGAGAGACAAACTCAAAGGCAATGATGTATGAATCTCTACATGAAAGCCTCAAAGAAAAATGCAGATTGGACACAAGCCCAAAAGGAATTCCTTGAAAAGCTTAAGAGAATTTTTTTTTAATAGAGAAATAATTTAAATCATGTAAAAGTGATAGTGCAAAGTTTGGGAGAAGAAATAAGAGCAATTATGACACAAGAATTAACAGCTTGGTAGAAGATACACAAAAAAGTTCTGAAGAAAATAACTTCTTACAAATCAGAATTGATTAAATAGTTAAAGGAGGTACAAAAATCTCACAGAAGAAAATAACTTTCAAAAATTAGAATTGGTTAAGTGGAAGCTAATCCATGAGACATCAAGTAACAAAATATTGTCCAAAGAATGAAAATATTCATGTAAATGTGAAACATCTTATCAGAAAGACAACTGACCTGGAAAAGAGACCAAGGAAAGAAACCTTAGGAATTATTGAAGTCTAAAAACCATGATTAAAAAATGGGGCTAGACATCATATTTCAACATTTAAATCACAACTATCCAGATGTATTTGAATCAGAGGGCAACATAAAAATGGAAAGAATCCACCAATTTCCTCCTGAATGGGATCCCAAAATTAAAACTCTTAGAAATATAACTGCCAAAAATCCAGAGCTTCTAGGTCAAAGAGAAAATACAAGCAGCCAGAAAGATGCTATTTAAATACCATGAAACCATAGTAAGAATCACATAAGCTGTAGGAACAGAGGGCTTGGAGTATTATATTCCAGATAGCAAAGGAGTTTGTATTATAACCAAGAATGATCTACCCAGCAATACTGAGTATTATGTTATGGGGGATAGGGGTATGGATATTTAATAAAATGGAGGATTTTCAAGCTTTCATGATGAAAAGATCATTACTGAATAGAAAATGGCTGGCACTTAAACACAAGACTCAGAAAAGTATAAAAAGGTAAGCATGAGTGAGAAATCATAAAGGAGTTAATAAGAGTAAATTATTTTTATTCCTAAATATACTCCTTAGGAACCCCTAAGAACTTTTTCACCCTTAGGGCTGTTAGGAGTCTACTTAGGAAGAGCACATGGGTATGAGTCTAGTATATTGGGATAATCTCAAAAGAGATCATTTCTACAGTAGGATATCTGCCCTGAGGCTAATGTCAGTGTGGCATCAGGGAGAGCACCTAATGCCAGATCCAATAGCTTACCCTAAGACAGATGAACGGAATGTCATAGAGGGCATTGTTGAAGTAATCAATTCCCCAGTCATACAATGAAATCTCTTCTGAGTGTGAAAAAGGGGCTGGGCTCACAGGATTAGGCAAAAAAGTTCTAGCTGATGGCAGGCAAAAGATGAGGCCTGTCATGTGAGAGAAATACTTTTGCCCCCTCTTCAGAGCTTTCTTAGGAAAGGAGATTTACACCATTGGAGAACAAACACAGAAAGCGTGGATTACATGGTTGTCCATGGCAACGTGTAGTTTGAGGGCCTCAACCACAGAAAAGCAAGGCTGGCTGAAAGAGTGCCTCAGGAAAAATGCCTTTCTATTATAGGGGAGTCCTGGTGGCCAGGAATCAAGATGTGATGTGGCAAAATTGCTTGCAAAAGCTTGAAAAATCCTTTAGGGAAGGTAATGATAATCATTTAAGATCAATTGAGCCCCAATAAGGGCCAAAAATCTGAATTAATCTTTTCTCCCTGATTGAACTAAAAGTGCCCCTTCCTGTGTCAGCAGCTGCGGGACCAGCATTCTTCCTGTTTGGGATCACTAAGGACAGGACACCTGGGACCAGACATAGCCTTGAATAATGGGACTTTTCTTATTTTGGTATCCTATGGCCATATGTTATGTAGGGAAGACACAGATAACCTGGCTCTATAATTTCAATTGACACTTTGACATTCTCCCATTTTATTGTATTTACAACTTATTCAACTAAGAGACTTCCTTTCCCATGCTATATGTTAAAAACATATGGAGGCTATATATATATATATACACACACACATATACATATGCATATATATAGATATATTTCATAACACAGACATCATGTCCTCCTAAAATTTCTTGAGTCGGTCAGAATTAAAGCTCTGGCTCCATGTACATGTTGCTAACTTAAGGGAATAAATGATATGGATTTACTTATCACCTAGCTTGTTGTTTCTTTAACCAACTTTCAGGTCGACAGTGAAAAACCAAGTCAAGCATTTTTCTTCTTCAGTTATTTCAGACACGTCTGACTCTTCATGACACCATTTGGGATTCTCTTGGCAGAGATACTGGAGTGGCTTGCTCTTTCCTTCTCTAGCTCATTTTACATATGAGGAACTAAGGCAAGTAGGGTTAAATGACTTGCCTAGGGTCACACACCTAGTGTCACACAGCCAGATTTGAACTCAGGAAGATGAGTTTTCCTGATTTCAAGCCCTGGACTCTATTCACTGAGTCACCTAGCTGCCCCAAGTCAAGCATATTCCACAATTATTGTAGCTACATATCCTTGAAGAGGTAAGAAGCCATGTGACTTTGTGCTCTGGACAGAGCTCAAATCTTTATAGAGATGAGTAGACCTAAAGGAAGTAAAGCCTGAGATGAGGGATGAAGTTAGTTTGGAGCAATTGTATACAGGTCTCAAATACAACAAAATCATTAAAGTTGAGTAGCCAAGGCTTTAAGTAGAACCCACTTAGTTTTGAAGAGTTGCTAGACACTGTAAGACACATGGAAAATAGGACTAGGGTTGTTTAGAGGGATACCTACTGGGAAACTATGTATAAATGGTCTAGGAACTCATGGATTCATGGATTTTATGGATGCAAAATTGAAGTGAAAGCTCACAACACTTCTGAAGGAAAACATTAGGAATAGCGTGATGGCCTCAAGAAAGTACTAGACCAGGGGAATGGAGACCATGATACATACCATTATCTGTGCAAGGTTAGGGAGATAGAATTGACTTCTGTTCCAACCATGGAGAAAATGGTCAAAAACAGGATAAATATACTCAAGAAGAGAATGAGATCTTGGTTCTTCAGATGCTGAGAACTATAGGGTTTTTTTCAGGGAAAAAGAAGTGGGGCCAAGGAAAGAGGTTGCCCCAGTATCATTAGACACAGACCAGAGCTTTACCAGTAATCAGTTTAGACTCGGGGCATTGAACAGAGGTGTCTGTAAAAATTTGGAATGTGGATTCCATTGCTGTCCTGGAGTGACATTTTCTTGTGTTGTCATTATTTTTCTGCATTTTCGTATTTTAGAGATGCCAGTGTGCTAACAGCCACCTTATCGCTAACTTTGGGAGAGTCACTATCAACTGTAAGGCCAGTTCAAGCACTTACCAGCATTTACACTGGTACCAACAGAAGCAAGGACAGCCACCCACGCTTCTTATCAAGTTCCTCCAAGTTGGCCTCTGGAGTCCCAGCCCAGTTCAGTGATTATGACCCTGCCAGGGGTTTCACTAACCACTTAGTCATCAGCAGCCCTGTGGAGGCTGCTGCTGCCTCTTACTGTCAGCAGGGCTATCATTCTGCAGCAGACTTGAACAAAAACCTTCTCAGGTTTATGGCTCAGGGTGGCTCAGTAAGTCCAGCTGCTAACCTCTCCCCCCATCACCTATGATGGAGGCCCTACTTCCGTTTGGTCAGGTATGGCCATTGAAAGATTCCAGGGATTGGAGTCTAGGAACTTTCCTGTATCTCATGAAAGAGATGCCGTGACGTGTGAGTCGCTTGTGGTTGCATGAGAACAATGATATATTCCATTTTTAAAGTTATAGGGGAAATACTTTAATTTTATGAGGCAGTCCTTTATATATCATGTCACCCTTGGAGGAAGAAGTAGAAATATCTGCTTCAGGATAAGTTGCTGCAGAGAAACTGTGGCCGAACATTCCAAGTGCACCAGAAATCAGTAGGCTTCATTATTGGCTAACAGTCTGAAACTGTATGTCAGGCAGTAATCCTGGAAGCGCTCTGTAAATGCTAGCTGTTATTATCGATGGACTGTTCCTTGATTTCATCCTGCCTCGAATGCTTCATAGCTGGTCCTTGTGTTTTCCGATGAGTTTTGTTCCCTTTCCTTGACTCCTGCCTGCTGTGTGACCCTGTGCCGGTCACATAGATGCTGCCTGCCTTGGCTTCTTCAGCTGTAACGTGGAGGCAGTAATGATAGCACCTGCCTCCTAGGCTTGTTGTGAGGATCAAATGAGGTGTTTGTGAAGCACTTGGCATGCAGTAGGCATTATGGATTTGCTTATTCTCTCCTCCCCTCTCTGCTTTACCCACTCTGTCACTTCTCATTTTATTGGTGTGTATAATCCATTCACATTTAAATTTATGAATTGGGTTTATAGTTTCCATTTTCTCTAATATGTTTTTTTCCCCTAAATTAAGGGTTTTTTTCCTTTTTCTTAGTAAAGATAGTGTTGTTTCCAGTTATTTTAGCTTAATCTCCTTTCAAGCAGTTCTGTTTCCACTGGATCTCTTTTCCCACACTCAGTCCTCCTCTCCTCACTCTGCACCTCACCTCATTGATTGATGGCCTGTATAGAGTAAGTGATGCCGTTTGGATTGAAGCCGTGTCAGGTGGTCCAGGCATGCTCAAGACCACGCGTGAATGTTAAGACTGTCCTTGTTATCAGTGAATTTACGTTGCAGTGGGAGGTGAAGACACATAAAGGGGAGTGATGGTTTGAGAAGGGTATTTTGCTCTGGAAATGTACAGGGATGGTGAATGGAGCCAAAGAAGCACACTTTGAGATATTTCCAATAGGGAAGGCAATATTGATTTAATTTCTTGATTCCATATTTGATTTCTAGGATTGAAAAGTGGATAGTGCTTGGAGGGCAATGCAGGGGGTATATGGTAGCAGCAAGGCACTTGACAAAGAGATGCCTGAGGAGTAAGTAAACACAAAACCTACATACCCAATATAGCGGACCACAAGAAGCTCCCTTCAGTCTAAACAGGGCAGATGTTCTGCAGATGAAAAGCTTGATTCATCCAGGATACTTCTTAAATAAATAAAAACCGTTTTTAACATTTGTTGTTTTCTTCTTAAGTTTTGAGTTCCAAATTTTATCTCCCCCACCCTCCCCTCACTGAGATGACAAGCCATCTAATGTAGGTCATACATGTGAAATAATGTAAAACATTTCTATATTAGTCATTTTGTGCAAGAAGACTTGGGAGAGAGAAAGGAAGAAAGTGAAAAATAGTATGCTTTTCAGGGAAGCACTCCTCATCTTATAAAGTACAGCAAAAAATATAGACTTAATTAAGAGAGATAAGGAAGGAAACTACATCTTGCTTAAAGGTACCATAGACAATGAAGTGACCAAATTAGAAGAGCAAGGAATAGTCTGCCTGTCACATCTAAGGGGAGGGGAAGAATTCATGACCAAACGAGATAGAGAGCATTACAAAATGTAAAATAAATAATTTTGATCATATTAAATTGAAAAGCCTGAATGAAAACCTTCTATGAAAACAGGAAGCAATAAGTAATGAGATAAAGGGGAGCATCTCCTCATCTCTAAAATGGGAATAACAGTATTGCATGTATAGGGAAAGGCTTCAAGGAGCAGGTGAAAAAAGATGCACAGAATTTTGTAACCACAAGCTTAGTGCTCAATGAAAGGGGATTGTAACTCCTAAGAGGAAGATTTCAAAATAAAAGTAAGACCCTTGAGTTCCTGTCTTCTCTGACTCTTGCGTAACATAAAGAATATATTCCCAGGCTAAGAACTTAGAAGAGGGGATTTCTGGTGATGGAATCCTAATAAAGCTGCCTCCCAGCCCTGATTTTATAACTTCCTTATAGGCCTCATTATGAGCCTCACTGAGGAGCAGGCATGTCTAGGTTTAACCACACTGCAGGCCTCCAGACTCCATCATAGGCCTCACTGAGCGGCAGGCCCACTGCCCCTACCTAGCCACTGCTTTGCCCCCAACTCAATATCCTAACTTCCTCTTATATGCCTCACTAGAACAGCAGGCATTTCCATGAACACATGCCCCACTAGAACAGCAAGTGTGTCCATGTGGTGGACATGATTAGCAAGGCTGGAGATTAGATCCCCACAATGTCCCTGTTGGCATCTATTTTTAGAAGGAGAAAAATGTCACCCAAACCATACCCACTGAGGTATCTGCAGAACTAGTATTGATATTATCTTTATGTTTTATATCGTCTATTTTATATAAATATTTTGGTTTTCTATTGATGATGGGGTTGAAGAGGTTTGTAGAAAGTGTATTTCACCATCTTTCATGTGGATACTAATATGTAGAATGTGCTAGGAAGAGAAAAAATTAGTACTGGCCTTGTTGTTCTTAAAGAAAACCAGTGGAGCTCCTCCAATGTGAATATGAGGTATGCAGCGTGAAAGAATTCAGAGAAATTTGCAAAGGCAGCAAATCATTTCCCCCCTAAGTTTCCCAGATTACTATCAAACAACTCAGCCTTGCCTTGATTGTGTGAATATCATTTGTGAATGTCAGTGTAGAATGGGGTTTGATAGCGAGACAGGAACCAGATGAGAGGAAACAGCTGAATATGTGCCTAATCAGAAAGCAGTGACCACCCGGGCCATGGACTTAGGAGGATGTAGCTGCTCTTTTGAAATCACACAGTTTAATAGCCTGGACAAGTTTTTGCTCCAAGGTGCAGCATTTTGTGTGAGGCCAGTCTTTCCTAATGT